GCGATACGCGGCTGCCTTCGGGACAATGATAAAATAATAAATTGCTGGGCTCATCCAGCGGCGACTCTCTGCAGCATCCCCGCGGGGAGTTGGTCTCTTCTTGTTCGCGTAGAGTCGTGCCCGAGCCACTTCGAACACAGAAATAAATACGTGGCCTGGTCGTATCGACTTGGTCTCGAAGCATTCCTGGCCACGAATTCCTTCCGCGGAGATATACGGTCTAATGCGTGGGCGCGGTTTCGTTGCATCGAGCTCTGAAAGAATTGGTGAAACGGTCGCGCGGCGCCCTCGATCAACGACCCCGATAAAGGAATATCGATCAGACGGGGTCGCAAATCCTCGTCTGCTCGCAGCCCAGACGGGAATTCATCGCTATGCACCGACGGATAAAAGTGTTTCATAATTTTTATCGTGTCCAACCGAGCCAGGATGCTGGAGTGGAGGATGAATGGGAAATGAGCATAGACGTGGATGGACAATTGCTCTTTGACACTTGATTTGTTGAATATGCACAATGGATGTGCTCTAATTCGATTTCACAATTTTTGATTAATTTCCTTTAGTATTGTTTAGTGCATTTTTTTTTTCTGAAAAGATATCGAGACTGGGCAATCTATTTTTATTTAGATGTGCAAGCAGAGATTAATCTCAGGTATATCTTGATTATTTTGGTTGGACAGAGTTCGAGTTTAGTACATTCTATACTTTTTATTATCATTTCTATTAAAATATATGTGCATTGTTATAGAAAAGTGTCATCACTTTGAAAAAATTTTGGGAAAGAGTATACGTATACAAAATTGTTTATTATATTTGTTTTAATGAAAGGATCTTTAACCGTTTGAGTCCCAAGCAGCGTGATCGCGCTGTTGAGATTTTATGTCGAGAAAACCCAGTACTCATTCAGAGAAAGCGCGGTTGCGCTGTTTGGGATTCTTCGACAGTGTTTTTTCAATAACCTCTGGAACTCAATCAGTTAATTAAACTTATCACATTTTGTTCCTATTAAAATATATGTTCGCACGCCCCGGCGCCATGCTGCACACACTCTTTTGTCTTACTGTTCGCTCTTTTTTTCATAACTGGAGAAGCGCACGCATGCTCCAGCAAAGGCAGTCACAGCACACAAAACTGCACTTATCTTAACAATTTCCACTAGTTTTTAGTGTGATATCTAAGACCATTGATTTATAGCCAAGTTCCTTTTGGCCAATTTATCTTATAGTTATAGAATAACTAAATAGAATAACTAAACGAAAGATAAATTCCTTTCATAGAAAACCTTTCGCCTACCACAGCTAGCAGAGGGAACAGGCAAAACAACAAAACAATAAAACCTCTCATCAGTGAGGCCATACAAGTACCATCCTGCCATCCATCTAATTGCCATAGACTAACCACGGACACATCGAAGTTGTATTTTGCGCTTGACCCTCGAACTGGAAAGCGTACACGAGTAACACGTTTCCAAGACGCGAAGATCCCAGCAGCGCGATAAAAGAGCTCCTCCGATGAGTCAAGACGAACAACAGCGGATTGATAATAACTGGAGGCCCAGCCGCGGTTATCCAACAATGTTAATCCCCCGAGATGCGATTACACGTGTACGCGAGAAAGAGTCGCGAGGTTTGGTGGACGAGGATTAGGATCTAGAAGTTTATGGCTGTCGGATAACTGTTGTAGCCCGTCGAGCCAGTCCTGTCCAAAGATTTATCCTCCTTGAACTTAACACGTTAAGCGCCATCTGCTATCCGACGCGTATGCTCGCGGAGCCGAAACCTCGAAATAGAGTGGCGCTATCGGAGGGCTGCCTAATTGAAACACTGCCTTCCATCGAAATGAACGCGAACGGAGCCCGAGAAATCGCGGTCGTGGCTGCTGCGAGGACATGAGCATTAACGAACCTCTAAATATAACTGGTGAGAACTGTTTCGTTGGGGAGTATCGGGGAAAACAATTCTCGAGCATCGCGGTTGTGCAGCGATCGTGATGCGATTCGCTAGACTGCGGGGGTTTATGCTACTTCATATTTTTATGTGCACAGGTGAGGAATGGGAACGTGAATTGAAGCATGTTTCGCCTTCTAAATGTTGCAACGAGCATTTTATTTTTTATATTCTTGTATAGTTTTCTATGTTTACGCTTGTCGTGAATGCGTGGCTATCTGCAGCCTCGTGATCACTGTGATTATTTTTGTACGATTATTTCGTGAACATTATGCGATGATATTTTTTGTCTGGTCTCATTGAAGCATCGCCTCGGTACAGAAAAAATTTCAAATATGTCTGTTGGTCCTGTTTATCTAAAAAAAGACATCCTCCGGAACAGCAACTCCGCTTAGATCGCTGCAAAACCTTCACGACTCACACCTTAATAAACTACTCTACATCTCCACTTTTAACCAACATCCACTCCCATCAAGAAACATATTCTCGGTCTCCAACCTACACACTATCGTTTTGCAAAAGGAAAAGTCACGATTGCCATTAATTTCCTCGAAATTAATTCCCAGACGAGTCTCCAGCACAATTTCGCTCTCAACCATCCGACCAAGCTCCTTACATAATTTCTCAATATGACGTCGCGCACGTGGTTTCGGTAGTCCCCATTAATTCCACCGGTTGCGATCAAGGTATTCCGCGTAAGAAGCCAGACAATATCGTTCCGTTCCAATTAATTCATCCGGATTCGAAACACGTGTAACCCTCCGCGCGCGGACAGAATAACGACCCGCTGTAATCTGCAGGCCGTGGCGTCTTCGATACGATCTACTTGGACAGAACGTTTTATTCAGCCGCGATATCGAAGCTCGGGTCCCGCGGAATTCCACGGTCAGAGACCAGAGATACGCCCATGGACAGCTGCCGCGGCAACCAACGTCGTTGATAACAGCCGCGGCGTCAAACGTCCTTCGCTATCACTAGCCGATTTATCTGTCCATTTTTTTTTTTTTTTGCTTTCTGAACCGGTACCCTCAATTTTTCCCCGTCGCTCGCCCTCACCCCGTGACATCGGTGGTGTCGTCGAACACTCCCCATGGGAGAGGAGGGAAATATACGAGCAACGCCGTCGTAAATATCAGTCGACGCGCAATATTTACGGGATCGAGGAATGCGCGGTACGTGGGTAACCTGGCCGTGTCGTCGCTACACAATGGTTAAGTTTCTGGTTAGACACGCGCGTTGGAGTTACGGGATCCTTCAGGAGGGAGCTAAAGGGAACTCCTTGGGTGGTGGAAGGATGCATCGCTGCGGTGGTATAGTTCGTTGCTCAGGATTTGGCGGGACAGTTTGATTGGCTGTCGCGTAACGGCGACACCTTTACTCGCATGTATTTTCGTTATTGGCTGAATTACATTTGCAAAACTACCGCGTAACGAAGACATCGAACGAGACATATTGAGATAAACTGAGAGAGGTATAGTAACTATTAGCGTAGACATATGTAAGAAAAATTAAAGTGTTCGAGACGCGTAAGATACACTTTGTATTTGACACGTTGATCACCATGTCACCCATATACATATAAGTGACGGTGCTTTTCACTGAAGTACTCAAGAAATAGATTCCAAAAGTTAAGCGTTAAAGAAAATGAATATTAATGAAATTCCTGAATTTCGATAACGATACAAAAGTAAATACCACGATAAATGTTTGATTACGTGGTTTCCAGTAGTCATTATTTTCATTTGTTTCAATTGTCAGTTATCAATTTTTTCGAACTAACCTACGAAGACGAGACCTTCGTGAAGAAGGGATGACAATTGTATGTCTCTCAGATACCAACCCCGTACTGCCTGCCATTTCTTACTTCCCTTGTCTGTAGTTTTGCCCGAGTAGCACCGGACCACTAGCTTCCAGTAGTCTATAAACAAAATTTAAGCACAGTAGACATTTTCAAGAGCATTAGTCTGGCAATCAACGTGTTAACCGACAATGTAGCGTGGACTACAACTATACAGTGTGGCTGCACGGAAGAAAAGGGTCTCCGGGAGTAGTAAAGGCAGAATTTCCTTGCCTCTGTCTCCCTTCAGTTCGTAGGTGCTTTGCCAACTCCTGAGCAATATACAATACTTTGCTGGACGGTGAAATTTCTGTTTAGGTGGGCTTTTGTTAGGTATAGAGAATTAGAGATGGAGGTGGTGGTCGATATGCGAATAGGGCTGTAGATAGAGGAGTAGATGCAGGTGTAGGTGGAGATGCAGGAGTGGTCCTTTGAATGGACACTCCAGTTGCTCCAAAGTAAAGCCTCCCATTCTCGAGTAAATGTAATTAGATTCAAGATACAGCTGACTTACAGAATACGACTACAAATTCCAATTGATTCGATAAATTGATTAACATCAATGTTCAAAATGAAACTCTACATAGAATTCAATTAGAAATTACAGATGATTCGTATAACCTTTTCGGTGCTCTGCACTCGTAAAATTATTTTGTTCTTGTCGTGCTCAAGACGAGTTAAATCGCATGAACTTATCGTTAATGAGTTAATGAGTTAACTCGTCTTGAGGTCTTTCCTATTTAAAAAGCTCATGGGATTTAACTCGTCTTGAGTACGACAAGAGCAAAATAATTTTACGAGTATACTCGCGCAGAGCACAGAAAAGGTTAATATTACATGAAACTGTATTCCACAATGAATATAATCAGAAATAACTGATAACCTATTTAATATTCCTGCCCAAATTGTGATTCCATATATTCGCTGAACTAATTAATACAATATTATTAGAAACCACAATCACTTTATTTAACATCAACGTATAAAATACAATTTTTTATATACATAAAACATATAAATATTTATAATACAACCTACGAAACATCCACCGTAAAAGGTTCTTTCTGTCTATCCTACTAATAAAAAAGAGGTCGGTATCGCGCTAACGTCGATAAGAAAAAACGAATCGGTCTCGTCCTTATCGAGACGAGCAGCGATCAATTAAGGGTTAACAGTGAGCAGAGCCTTGAACGTCGACGTCGTTATTTTTGTTTCAGCTGTCTGGACTGGTTGTGGGCGGAATCGGTATCTGGACGGTGATTTCGAAGCACAGCTACGTGTCCCTGATGGCGACTGTCACGTACCCGATTCTAGCATACGCTTTAATCGTCGCAGGTGTCCTGGCTGTGGTCGGTAGCTGGCTCGGATGTGGCGGTGTAACTGCTGAAAATAGATGCGTTCTTCTCATAGTGAGTAACCGACGGATTTGCTTCTCCACCATCTTTGCGTATATTTCATTTTATTTAACAGAAAAGAAATTGTTTCTCATCTATTCGCTACTCGCGCGAATTAATTAACGCTTCATCTACTGGGAGCCTATTTACTCATCTTTCACTTCCAGTAACTGCCTACAGAATTCTTTTGTTAACGGTTTAAAGGTTAGATTTGTACAAAAGCTCTCTTGCTTTCTGACTCCCTAGAATTATTTTTCCCTTCGCAAGAAGTTCAGAAAAACGTTGGTTAAACAGATAACAAAGCTTGCCCTGCTACCTTGGCGAATGTTTCTTTTTCGACGCGCAGAACTTTCGAGGAACAATTTCATGGATAACCTGCGGTAGGGTAGTATAAACGTTTTAGAGCATGGTTGATAGTCCGCGAAATGAAAGGTTGAAGAGGATCGAGATAAGGGAAAGATACCTGCAGAGGTAATGAAAATTGTAAACGAGCCCTGTACGTGGTTCGCAGTTCTCGTTTGAACGTGTAAAAAAGATAAAAAGAGAAGGAATTCGCGAAGTTTCGTTTCCAGGGCAGTTTCAACACCGAGCCACGAGCTGGGTTCTTTCTCAGCCGTGGAGGCTGAGCTTCCCTTTGACTTGGACCACTGCCTCCGACATCATCGCCCCAGGCTTAGGGAGACTTTGTGTCCGCTGTTATGGTTGCTCCCACGTTGAAAATGAGGGAAAGCCGAGACTCGCATTCTGCGGAGCCGCGTGCCTCGCGATAAACTATCGATCACTCGTCTAGAGTGCAGATCGGTGTTCTTCAGATCTTCACCCCGAATAGAATTGTAATCTTTTAAAGCATTTCTGCTTTACTTACACTGTTCCCCATTTTTCAATTGAAATTTTCCACCCTTTGCTTGCTGTAGAAATTAATTCACACTCGTGGAATAATATTACATCTTCTCTAATAGAGTTAAAAATTCTTGTTCGCCAGGCTTTAGAGTAATATTTCTAATCGAGACAATAGAGAACGATATCTTGTATTATTTTTATCAGAAGCAGAAAATAGTGAATTTTTTCGTAAAAATTTGTTCGATGCAACAAGGCCCACTTTGCCTTGAACGCATAACCGATTACCTCGGCTACCATCGCCCGAGCTGCAAGGCAAAGCCACCCCTTATTGTTCGCGTTGCTCGCGACCGAATAACAGTATTTTCAGTCTCAAAGCCTAGCAAGGTAAAGAGGCTGACGTGCAGGGGTGCACTTTTAAAAATACCTCGATTCACCTGAGAGCAAAATTAGCGGCAGCAAAGATACAAAGGGACACGAGTACCGATTTCCTCATCGCGAAAGAAAAACGTGGAGAGAATGAAATGATCTATAGTTGAAAGTTACTTTACTTAGGCGTTGCAGTGCATATTTCACGAGCAAGGTGATGCACCGTTCGCTCGTGCACCAGGAGCTTAATGGACATTAATACCGACTGGTGGAATCGGATGAAAAAAAAAAAAAAAAAATAGATAAATTATACTTTGCCATCGTCGAGATAATTTATAATATCTTTAGGAACAGCTCCTAAAAGTCAAGGAGAAGTTCAAAGAAAGATCCCAGAGCTGGTTATTTCTAAAAAATTACAGTGTCTAATCATTCACTTCCTCTTTAATACACAGAAATTTCAAAGTTCCCGTCGCTTTAGGTTTCGTTTGATTTTTCCCTAAGACCTTCCGAAAACACAAATTTAAATTCAAAGCATCTCACACCCCACGCGGCATTAATTTCCTGAAAATATAAACTTTAGAAAGAATATAAAAAATCGTTACATTCACCTTTCTGGAATCCTCCCCAAGCTTCTCTTCCTTGGACCTAGCTTACGATAAATCGGAGTTAATCGCGAATTAGCGCTCCATTCTGTGTGGTATCTCGCGGTTCCATCGAGGCTCTAACCGTTTCCAGGACTGGATTACGTTTAATTCCGCATAAATGATAGTTAAATCGCGGTAACAACCGTCGCGAGCCGCGGGGGCTCGCCGTGGATCCTTCGCGATTTAGGGCCTCGATCGTTGCGTCGCGCTCGATTGCGTAACGTCCGAGTTTAAATTGCAGTAACGCTGATTCGAGTTCCCGTTCGTCAGTCAGCGTATGTCGAAACGCTCCGCGCTGAATATAGGTTGAACCAGCGATAAATAACAGGTCGTTCGGAAATGGCAGAGTAAACTCGCGAATCGTTTCGCTACAATGCATGGACGAACGTCATCCGAACGCGAATTATTAACATTTTCCAACCACAGACAACTTCGCAGCCAGGACGCGAAGTCTGGAATCTGCATTTGAGAACATGTATGAGTTTCACGGTGGACAATTTTCCATATTTTCCGAGGGAGAATGAAATTTGGTTTCTCTTCTTTTAAGGAATATAGTGAGTGATCAAAATGTTACGAAGATGTAGAAAATTACAACTTATATACCTTTTTATAGATTGTTACATTTCTCATAACATATTACCACGATTTTAAGGTTTTCACATTTCAAATAAATGCATATATCATGTTAATTATACGAGAAAGACAAAAGAAAGGATATACTCCATTGTTATCAAAATTCAACTACGAATATCATACATAAAATACGTAATTTTCCTCACGTATTCTCAATAATTTAACCACCCACCGTGCTATACAACAATTCCATTGTTCAACACGAATAGCTGCCTCAACTCGTCATTAATTATTTTTTAAAAAGACTTCCCCCAAAAAACAAAATATATGTTAAAGAATAGAATAATACACGCAGCCACATTTTCTCTTGCACCTCAAAAAAGAATGTTTAGAAAGTCGATTTCTAGTGAAACTTGCGCCCTAGTTAGAATTAGTCTCGATGCTTATCTAATTCGCGAGACGGTGACTGGCCGACGGTAATTACAAAAGTAACGTTAACGATTGCGGCGTATCCAATTAGTTTTCATAGCGTGGCGGGACCTTCGTTTGTTCTCGACTTTTTCGCGGCTTGAATGACGTATCGCGAGGCTGGAATCGCCTGGACAAGTCTCGACGCCTCGGACTGGTTTCGAACCAGTTTCAACGGTCTCGGGCGCCGATCCGAATGCTTCGGGCGAGACCGCATTACTTCCTAAGTATCCAACGGCCGATCGCGGCACTTACGGCCAATTTATGCTCGGACGCGTAAGTCGCAATAAGATCTCCGTGAAAAGGCACGGCTGTGGCGATTACTAGCGATTCGAAGCCGCCACAACACCACGTTTCAACTTGGATCAGATTTTCCAGAGGGAGGAGATTAATTCTCTGGTAAAAAAGACTGGGACGAAGATCGAGAAAAAAGAACTACTTCCGTGGCTCAGTTATCAAGGGAAACTACGGTTTAATGAAATTTTGCCTTTGGCGGGTGGGGAAGAAGTTTGCTTAACTTTTCGAGGTGGAGATTAATTCTCTTTAAAATTTGTTTCAAACCTTTCTTAACATTTTCACGAATGTGTATAGTAGACGTATACTAGAAATAGACACAGAACTACTGAAAGCATTGTAATAACATCCCATGAGTATTACCAATATTGCAGCAATATTCCAGCGATATCGCATGCCTTCTTGATAGCCATTTCCTTTTGCTTCCAGTGATTGATCAACTTCCCCCAACTCCATTCAGTATTTGCATCGCACGAGTGCTTCTTCCCTAAAGTCTACCATTTTATTCATCCTATTACAATATTATACAACATCAGCCTCGCGAATAATTCATATTTCTCCTTCCACCCAGTCACCTCCCCCGCAGGCAATTTCCCTTAAATAATCCCCGAGCATTCCAGCTTCGATCGCCTTCCCCCTCCACTCTGCGAGTGTATAAATAAAAAAAACAAATTTCCGTTTCACGCAGTCGTCGGTTCTCGCCCCTCTTTAATTAAACGTGACTGGCTGCGTCCACGCGAGAACGCTTGACAGGAAGATTGCCGGCGATCCTCGAAGGATCCGGGCGATATGGCCGGCCTCCTCGCCGTCCTTCGGAGGGGTGCTACGAAATAATTTGCACGTTCGTTTCTGCGAGACGGTGCAAGAAAGCCCCGAGTGCGCCGGGACCGTGCAATTATGAAGACATTAAATCCGAAGTGCTCGGACCGTCTGCCCGCTCGAGCCCCTCGACGACAAGCGTCGACGCAAAAAGGAGCCAAGTACGGCTCGGTGCTGCGAACCAAAGCCTCCTGGATATCGGGGGAATCAGTACTGGGTGCTTGAAATACGCCAGGGGACAGGCATTATCTCGGGGAAATGAAATATCGCGAGTCGTAAAAAGATTCGGCGGGCTCTCGTCTCGGATGAGCGACGCGTAGCTCTCCTGGGCCTCGAATCAAGTAGCGTTATACGAGGTATATGTGCAATTGCGATATGGTCGGGAGGAGGGGTGATACTTGGGGCTAACACACGTCGAAAATGTGCAGTAATGTTTTTATGTGGGACTTTTTAGTGTGGAGATAAATGTGTTTGAAGTTCTGTTTAGTATATGATAAGTGTGTTTGGTAATAAAGACGATTCGTGTATTTATTTTTCATTCAAAGGGAGGAACGAGGGTATCAATTGTCTTTAGTATCAAACACTAAATTCGACACATTTTTCTGCCTACAATTAACATTCTCAATGACATATATTTTTCTATATATTCTTAGTAACATATATTTTTTATTCAGCCCAATAAGGCATGTATGAATAATTCTTCGTCCAAAAAGGATCCTATTATTCTATATCTAAGAATCCTATACCTTCTATCTATAATAACAATTCTTAACAACCCCCATCATACATCTTCTACCTACCAATGAATGCACGAACTCCTTTCGTTACCAAAACAAACTTCCCAAACTACCTCACGTTCCTACTCCACCAAAATTTGCCTCCACCCCCTCGAATTTACTTCCACGCTAGAAATCAACCCTCGACCCTTCCATGGACGCGATTGCCAGCGTAAATTCCATCGAATTCGACCGTGAAAGTTTAAACACAGACACGGAATCGTTCCCGAAGATT